TCAACCCAGACTCACCACACGAAACCCAAACATAAATCATACTGTCTAAGGCTCATAAGCCACTGGATATTCTCTTAAATATTCTCAAATGCACCACATTCAAAATACTTACCCTAAAGTGAGTTCTTGCAAATCCAAAGCCATTACCTTCGCCTTTCTGATATTGATATATAAAATCCCCTAACTGATATAGAAACACCACAAGTCTTGACACCCTCCAATGCAAACCTCAATTTCTAGCCAGCTATATAACCTGAAAATCTCTAATTATTACATATAAAATCTTAAACCCATTAGAACCATTTTCGAGAGCCCTCCACTCTACTCAAACCGCAATTAGACCGATCAAACGGACCGGATGACTTGTGCTCTGTTAGCACTCTGACACCGCAGAATGTAAACTTACCTTAATGCAACCAAGCAACTTCTTGTTTTATGCACCATACATCCTTTACCAATAACAACTCAAGTCATTCCGTGATTCTCATACACCCATAAAGCATAAGATAACCTTTAGTGAAATTCCCTTTACTCAAGCCATCCTCGGTCTCAACCTCCGTAAGCCATAACTGATTCACTAGTACGCCTCAAACTAGAACCAACATAGCACATAACCATGCAATCAACTACTCAATAATAAACTCCCTCACTTGGCTCAAAGCCATAGATCAAAACACATAATAACTCATAATGCATATACTCTATTACTGCCATAATACTACAGTGAGATTAAACTCAAGCCTTCATAAGCTCGTGCAACACAGACCATCTAGTACTTCAAATCTTCTGCAAATCTCGCGCTCACCCTCGTAACAGTCTAGCCCACTCTCTTAGGCGACCCAAATTCGAATTGCAACACATATATTTTACTGGTAACAGAGATCTTCCAATAAATGACATAAAGGATCACGCAAACTTCAGAACACTCCGGAGGAGATAACCCACCTGCTTCGCCTTAAATTAACATCTCTTTATACCCTTCCACCGTCATAAATATTACACAGTCACTTAATCTTCCTGAGTCTGAACTCATATCACAACGTAAAATCTACTTCACCTCCCAACTAGGCAACATGAAAAGGTCCTTCAACACGCTCACAACTCGGGCTATACATCAAATCATGATGGGAATCAAACACCAGATAGTTCTTACTACTCCCAAGAAGACCCTTCTTGTCTCGTTCAAATTATATCTACACATCTCACAGTAACATCATACTCATCACATAGCTATCCAGTCATCACTCCCACTAATAGGGATACTATCGGACATACAAATCCAAAAGCACGTGCTCACACAATCAATGCCTCAGTGCTCAAACTATAGGCAAAACTCGGCCTCAAGTCCTCCAGACTGGCTCAACATCAATACACAGAGATCACACCTTGCCCCTCGATTAGGGAATCACAAGCCATCGATGCATATCTGATACTGAGCGCTCATGTGCGCATACGAATGCGTGGAAGGAATCCAAGGAGTTACATTTCAAGCTGAATCAAGGACGCGCGATCAGAATTCAAGAATGTGAAGTTTTTCCTAAAGGTTCTGCAGCCTCCCGAGGATAAGTACAGACGTCTCCGTACCGATCCGCGAGACTCTACTAAACGTGCTCATGACTCGTGAGACCTATGTAACCTAGGCTCTAGTACAAACTTATCACGACCCTAAAACCGCCCCGGTTGTGATGGCACTTATCATAAAACTAGGCCAGCTGACACAACTCCTGAATTAACCATTTATCAATAAAAGTTATTTTTATGTCTTTATTTAATCAAATATTTCATAATGAAAGTTGAGCAGTAAGAAAACACGTAAGCCACATCATAACGCTACAGCAAATGCAGTACATTTTCAAAACAGTACAAAAATCTTTAATTCGTAAATCAAGCTCAGTTTCAATAAAACCTTTTAAAACAACTTTCAATAGTTTCAAACGAGTGATAAAATAGTGAGTAAAATGATGGAAACATAAACCGCCTCTCGGGCAAAACATGTACCATAAACCGCCCTTCGGGCATAATATCAACAGAACTAGTCCCTCGGGCTACCCCACAATCACTCGTAATCAGTCCCTCGGGCATAACATGTATCAAGAACCGCCCATCGGTCAAACATGGATTAAGAACAGCCCTTTGGGCTTCAATATGCAACAGCCCCTCGGGCTACAACATATCACTCACACTAGGTACCCGCGCTTATTGGGGGTGTACAGACTCCGGGAGAGGCCCCTTACGGCCCAAGTGCAATAATAAGCCATCTCGTGACATAATCAAATAGGCTCTCGACCTAATATCAAGCCACCTCGTGGTGTAACAAATCAGGCCCTCGGCCTCATAATCATGAATCAATACAACACCGCTGCGGCGCGCAGCCCGATCCCACAGTATCCTCACAACACAGGCCCTCGGCCTCACTTAGTCAGAAATCTCTCATGCCACTCGGGCAATAGTAAAACATGATACTCAGCCCAAAATATCATTTAAAATATCAAAACGAAGTAATTATGTCTGAGTTATGAAAACAGTAGAATATAGCATGACTGAGTACAAATATGAAGTCAAAACAGTGAGGAATAGTAGTAAAAATCTCCTAAGGGGTCCAAAACAGTTGGCACGAGGCCCAAATATGGCATTCAGCCCAAAACAGGATAATACTTTCCAAAACACAATGATAGCAAACGGTTTTCAATCAAATACGTAGTTTAACAGTCATACGAGATGGACTAAGTTACAATCCCCAATAGTGTACGACCCCACGCTCGTCATCTAGTGTGTGTGTCACCTGAAAGTAGCACAACGATGTGAGATCCGGGGTTTCATACCCTCAAGGCAAACATTTACAAGCATTACTTACCTCAATCCGGTCCAAACTCTAGCCCAGGATGCCTTTGCCTCTCGATTCGGTCTCCAAATGCTCCAAATCTAACCTAATAGAGATTTATACCAACAAAATATGCTAAGGGAACAAAGCTCACTTGTTACGCCCCGCAATATTACGTCGAAATTACGTCCCGGAGTATTATATTACGACGATGTTATGCTCTGCAGTAATATATTACGATGATGTTATGTCCTGTAATATTATATTATGATGATGTAATAAGAAAGATACGTTACGTTGGTACTCTGTTGAGTAAGGTACCGGGTGCCCATCGCAACCCATCCGTTTGGGTCGTGACACCACTCAAAAATAATTAATTTACATCAAAAATCCCGAAATTGGCCAAACCCGACCCCCGAGCCCACGTCTTAGAATCTGATTAAAAATCACATCAATAGAATCCTTATTCCGCCACGAGTTCATTCATACAAAAAGTGCCAAAATCGGACCTCAAATGGCCCCTCAAATCACCACTCAAAGCTCTCCAATTAACCAAGCCCTAACCCCCAATTCACCACTGATTTTCCCTTGAATTTTCATGTTAACAACGATAAAAATCACCATAATAACGAGCTTAGGAACCAAGGACCTTACCTCAATGAATCCCTCAGAAAATCTCCCTTGAAATTGCTCCCAAAAGCTTCTTCCCGAATGAAATATTGAGAAAAATGGCCAAAAATTGCCAAGGGTGGAATTTATAGCTTCTGACCCAGCAAAACCGCACCTGCGAAATTCACTTAAAACTCCAAGGCCGCATCTGCGCAAAGAAATCTGCACCTGCGCAATCGCATGTGCGACCAGGACCTTGCTTCTGCGGTCCGCTCCTCTCCTGGCTAGTTCTGCGGCTCCAAAATTCACTTCTACGAGTCCGCACCTGTGGTCCCCTAGCCGCATGTGTGGTTATGACAGCAACAGAAAAACTTCAGCTGCCAAACCCAACTCAAAATCACCTAAAATCACCCCCGAGGCCCTCGAAACCTCAACCAAAAGCACGAACAAGTCATATACCACTATCCAAACTTATGCCAATCTTCAAAACACCTCAAACGACATCGAATCAACCAAATAACATCGGATTCAAGCCTAAGTTTCCAAGAATCTTCCGAATTCAGCTTTTGATAAAAAAGTCTACAAAACCTCGTCCGAATGACCTGAAATTTTGTACACACATCACATTTGACACAACGAACCTACTGCAACTTCTGGAATTCCATTCTGATCTCTATATCAAAATCTCCCCTATCAACCGGAAAACACCAAAATTCCAATTTCGCTAATTGAAGCCTAAATTTAATCCGGACCACCAAAACGCATTTCGATCACGCTGTTAAGTCCCAAATTACCAAACGGAGCTAACCAAATCATAAAAATTCAAATCCGAGATCTTATACTAACAAGTCAAAACTTGGTTAAACCTTTCAAATTCTAAACTTCAAACTGAGAACTGTCTTTCCAAATCCATTCCGATTATCCTGAAAACCAAAACGACGATTTGCATAAGTTATAATACATCACACGGGGCTAGTCATGTTCGAAAACTGGCGAGCGAAGTATAAAAGCTCAAAACGACCGGTCGGGTCGTTACAATATGAGCCTGATGTACGCGTCACCTCAAAATAACCGCCAAATTGGCTCTATGGCCCAAGCTCAGTTATTAACTACTCAAGTCTTAGTTAACCATATGACACACTACTCAATTCAATAGTGTTACACATATGAGGCATCAACAACATGTAAGGAATCAATTAAGAAAGTAATGAGATAAAGATATCATACATGGATATAGCATCATGACTGAGAGTATGTGTGTAATCAAGGCAAATAGCTCAGAAATAGTAAGAATAGCTCTATCATGTCTCAAATAAATTGCTTATATCCTAGACATTATTTCTAAGATGAATACGAACTCAAGTAATCATATAGGTTTAGAAACACGGATAAAATTAGGCATGATAACAAAACAAATCTCATAATAGTCTAAAAGCCACCCCAAATCATGAACACTCTGGTGCACGTACACATGCCCGTCACCTAATGCACGTGTCATCCCAGTACATCTCATATAACATAGTTTCCAGGGTTAATTACCCTCAAATCAAAGTTTAGATATGTTACTTACCTCAAAACGCGAAGAGCAGTACTCCAAAAAGCCCTTGCCACATGAATCGACCTCCGTGCAACTTAAATCTAACCAAAGCAACTTAATATCATCAATAAAGGACATGTGAAATAATCTCACACAATAAAGCATAGTCTTTAATAAAAATCGGAAAGTTAACCACGGGCCCGCACCCCGAAACCTGGCCAAACTCACAAATTTCGAACACTCATTCAAATGCGTGTCCAACCATACTAATTTCATCCAATTTCAATCACAAATCTATCCTCAAATCATCAAATCTCGCTCCCTAATAACATAGTCTAAAATCCCCAAATTTCATCTTACATTCACATAAACTAGGTGTAATAATTAATGGGTAATCAATATCTTGCATCAAAAGTGATTAAGCTTCACTTACCTTTTCAATTGCAGCAAAATGTTTCTCAAAAATCACTCTTAGCCGAGCTCCACAACTCCCAAAATAAGAAAAACAATCAAACACGTCGAATATAAACTCTGCCAGTAATTTTCCATCTGCGGGTCACTTAACCGCATTTGTGGTTCTGCCATTGCGGTCAAAAATATCGCATCTACGATTTCCTTCAGCCTGGGACCTTCCGCATCTACGGTCCCTCTTGCGCACCTACGGGCAGTGGCGTACGCATGAACTTTTATATATAGTGTCAATATTTAAAGAAGTGAACAAATGAATAAATTAATATAACAACAAACTATGTCATTATATATATATATANCAAGGTGCCTACGGGCTACGGGCTCACAGATGCGACAATATCCTCGCACCTGCGCTCTTCCCCAACTCCATCTTCGCCCGCTTCTGACAGCTCCTCCGCGGGTGCGAAGCACCAGCTTCTGCATGTTATACACCATTATAACACGGATCAAATTAGCGTATAACATATTGGTGATTATTGAATTAAAAGAGTCGCCACCTAATTATTTTAAGGGTGAATTAGGTAACCCAAATCAATTAATTAAGTATGGAAAGTAAGACTCCATTAAGGTCGACTTGACTAAAAATTCTGCTTAAGGGGCTTCTAGTTAAATTGAGGGGAAGGTGTGAGGTACCCCTTAAAATCCGTATAAAACGCGGTTGCCTTCCGAACTTAGTTCATTAATTTAGGCACCAATTACAATTATCTAAATTTGCGGTTGCCTTCCGAACTTAGTTCATTAATTTAGGCACCAATTACAATTATCTAAATTTGCGGTTGCCTTCCGAACTTAGTTCATTAATTTAGGCACCAATTACAATTATCTAAATTTGCGGTTGCCTTCCGAACTTAGTTCATTAATTTAGGCACCAATTACAATTATCTAAATTTGAATTAGTCCGATGGACAAAAGCATATTTCATTTTTTAAGAAAATCTTTATAAAAATGAATTCCAATATGACCAGCTTTGAGCTTTGAGCTTTAACTTTGATAGAACATTTGACAAAAAATGGGAAAGAGATTTAAGCGTTATTTATAAGAAAGTTAAATTTGAATCTTTTAAATAAGCTAAACAAATATAGATTAATCTATAAAAGATTTTGGGTAAATTGACTTCTAAGTCTTGAAAGTAGATGTCCTATTATATGTGATAAAACAATTACTTCTATAATGAGATAGAGGAAAGAACCTAAGTGATTAAGTAAAACTTTACTAATAATCCTATTCTGAGTGTGAATTTCAACATAGCAATCATAGAAGAGTTAAAATAGAACAAATGATAAATAAAACATAGGAAAGATGCCATAGGCCAAGCGATTTTCTCGCTTGTTTTCTTCTTTTCTGATGCGGTTAAAGAAGATAGGATGTGATGACTCAAGCACGAAGTGTCTTGCACTAAGGTTCCATGTTGCTCCCAAAGTGTACATGACAAAATAAGAAGAGAATAAGAATTAGAAAATAAGAAATTCAATTCTGACTACTATATGAAAAATGAAGAAGCTTATAAGACAGTATTAATTTAACATAGAAAGGATTTAAGCAAGTCAACAAACCTGCATATATCTAAAGCTTAACAGAACTTCAAGCTACATTTTGACAAGTATCTTTAAACATAGTCATAACAACGTGAAGGGACAAACTACGCACATGGCATTTCGAACGTGAAAGAATGATCTTACAACATGGCTCCTAAACTAATAATTGAACTTATTAGTAATTTTAATATCTATAGCAGTGACATTTTATACAAATATTCCGTTCAACTTATGTAGGACAAATGCAAAGACTTCCTATAGTCACAGTTCCCATATCATACTAATCTAAGGACGAAAGAGACTTAAAGCAGGGCATTTAAGTATGGATTATACACTTAGCATGTACTTATAGATATAGATTCTTAAGTAGTACTCTGTTCTTGAAGCTAAAAGAAAATTGTAGTTTCTATTATGACATACTTTTGTATAAACAATGTCAGGAAGTATACACCCAAATTTAAAAGGAAACAAGTTAGACATGTGAAAGTAACAAGGGGAACTTTTGGATAGATATTTTCAAATAATAAAATGCCAAACATGTTAACCAAGTTTCTAAACAGATGAATACACATTAACATACCAAAGACTTGCAGCAGAACTTATTGGTAACAAGATTTTCTTATGACATGGTGTCTAAAGACGTAAGTCGTGTTTTAATAAACTTCTTAACAGATTTTCTACCACAAAATCAATAACTTACAATCAAACAAGTTCAATTAACAAGTCAATTAACTTTGAAGAAATAGTACTATTCTACAGCTAAGATTCGTAATTGAAGCCATAACTAAAAAAAATAATTCTCAACAGATTTGAATAATAACATGCTATTAGAAGATTTTAGCTATAACTACTAAAGACATGATTTCTAAACACAATATTGTAATAGCAAAATTAAAAAGAACAGAGTCGAATTTACCTTTTGTTGGGCAGTGAAACTGAGGCTCGGAGGTCGTTTCAGATCTACCCTTTTGTATTTCGAATTGAAACTTGAGAGAGATAGAATACAAAAGTTGAAAGTGTAAATATGATTTTTTTCGAGATTCCAGGATGTCCTCCTCGGCTGAGACTTTAGGATGTATTTATAGGTGAAAAACAACAAGGATTTCTGTAGAGCGGGAATTTGAAATTTCGGATTCTCGGATTCGAAATCTTGGTCAACATATCCGTTCGAATCCGAACGTTGGAGGTTTGGACGGATTCAGCAGGCTTCACGTGTTGTGAGAAAAAATTGAATGAGATATAAGAACTTACTCAAATTGGAGGGGCAAGTTTCTGCCATGGATGATGGAGGTTGTGACCTTTCACCAAAGAGGAAGAAAGAAGAAAGACAAACCCTAATTCTTAGAAGTGATATACTTGATATTGGGCTAGACAGATTTGGGTCTATAGGAATTGGGCTACAGGCCAATTCGGCTGATTAATGAACTGATATGAATTTGGGCCAAATTTTCATGGTCTCTTTCCTTCTTAAAATTAATTTAATTGGGCTCCCTTGTCTTACTAATTTGGACTCAATAATAATACTTTGAACATATATAATATTATATATTAAAATAAGTGATTAACTCAATAATAGTCATATTAATGGTAACATTAATAATCATGCTAATACTAATACTAATAATAATGATAATAGTAATAGTAACAATAATAGTAATAATAATAATAATAACAACAACAACAACATTGACTATTGTAGTAGTAATCACTTCAATAATTATAACTATTATAATAGTAGTGATAAAGGTAATAAATGATTAGATTATTAATGACTAGGGAGCACTAGAAAATTATTCAAAAGAAAAGTAGGACAAAATTGGGTATCAACACTGCAGTCCTTCAGCCATGCAACACAAATCCAAACAAGCCGTAACCAATCCGAAATACACTCAAGGCTCGCGGGACTCCATCCAAACATACCATATGTCCTATAATATAACACGAACCTACTAGAAGCCTCAAATAACATAAAACAACATTATAACCACGAATCGCCAAGATTCAAGCCTAAAGAACTAATGAACTTCCAACTTCCAAAACACATGCCGAATCACATCAAACCAATCTAGAATGACATCAAACTTTGCACACAAAATCCCAAATGAAACAACGGTCCTACTCCAACTCCCAAAACCAAAATTCGAAGCCGATATCAATAGTCAACTTTCGGTCAAACCTATCAACCTTCTAAATCTTCAACTTTCTAACTTCTATCGAAAAGCTTACAAAATAAAACTCTGGTCAATTCTTCCAACTTAAACTTCAAACCTTGGGACTAAGTGTTCTAATTCATTCCAAAACTTCCCCAAAATCAAACCAACAACCCAGTCAAGTCACATAACCGCAATTACACATGTGTAAGGCATCAAATAGGAAAACGAGGCTAAAATACTCAAAATGACCGGTCAGGTCATTACAACACTCTGACTATTGTTCAAGCTGATTGTACGATCCTAGCCATATGTTCTTTTTTGAATGGTACATTTGTTATGTATGTCTTTTACAAATAAAATTAATAATCTTAATCAAAAGTAAAACTATTTAAATGACAATAGTGTCAATTAAATGTGATAAGGAGTATCAAATGTCCATGCCCTCTTTCGATCTTTTCCCCCTTATAGGCTATATTTTATATTAAATATTAATCAAAAGATTTTGCTACAAATAAACATTGAGACCATTTAGATTAGCTGGAAAAAAGTAACTTTAAAGTAGCGTTTAAGTATATGAGCTTGTTTTATAAATAAGTAGTTACTTGTTTGGATAAAAGTGCTGAAACTTAAAAAATGTTGTTGAGGTGATTGGTAAATGTAATGACCCGGTCGGTCATTTTGAGAGGTGTAGTCTTGTTCCCCACTTTTTTACCCTTTTATACTCTACAACTGTCGTATGACTTATCGGGGTGGTAAGTTCGGTTCCGGAGAGATTTCAAAGTGAATTGAGACACTTCGTCTCATAATTGAAAACTTAAGTTTGAAAAGTTAACTAGACGTTGACTTACGTGTAAACGGTCTCGGATTTAAATTTTGATGGTTATGTTAGCTCCGTTAGGTTATTTTGGACTTAGGAGCGTGTCCAGATTGGGATTTGGAGGTCCGTAGTAGAATTAGGCTTGAAATTACGAAAGTTGGAATTTTGGAAAGTTTGATGGAAATGTGGACTTTTTGATATCGGGGTTGGATTGGATTTTCGGAAGTTGGAATAGGTTTGTGGTATCATTTGTTACTTGTGTCCAAAATTTGAGGTCAATCGGTCGTGATTGGATAAGTTTCTACGTCATTTGTATAATTTGGAAATTTTAAAGTTCATTAGGCTTGAATCCGTGTGCAATTCGTATTTTTGATGTTGTCTAAGGTAATTTGAAGGCTCAGCTAAGTTTGTATTGTGATTTAGGACTTGTTGGTATGTTTGGTTAAGGTCCCAGAGACCTCAGGTTGATTTCTGATGGTTAACGGATCAAAAATTGAAGTTGGGATACTGATGAAGTTGAGTTTGTTGTTTTTGGCTGATCTGGTTTCCTTATACGCGATCGCGTAGGCAGGTCCACGATCGCATAGGCTAAATGGGTCACTGATGGAATTTTCTCTACGCATTCGCGAGTAGAGGGTTGCGATCATGTAGCTATGGGAAGTAGTGCATAGGAGCTGGGACCATGTGTTTTGTTCATCACGAACGCATGAGGTCGTTCGGGATCACGTAAGTCAGAGAGTTAGTTCATCACGTTCGCGTGGGGGATTTCGTGTTCCCATAGGGTTAAATTGTAGGGCAGCATAGTTGTGCTTCGCGATCGCGAGGCATGTTCCAAGATCGCGATGAAGGCATATCTGGGCAGAATAAAAGATTCAAAAACGAGGGTTTTGAGTTCATAACATAAAGTTGATTTTGGAGGTCAGTAGAAGGCAATTTTTGAAGATATTCTTGTATGGGTGTTTGAGGTAAGTTATTCCTATCTAATTTTGGTCAATTTCCATGATTCGAGTAAATTTGGTATGGTTAAGCTCGTGATGAATGGGCTTTCGGGTTTTGTGACTTTTGTTGGATTTCGAGATGTGGGCCCGGGGACCGACTTTTGGCCAGTTTCGAATTTTGGCCAATAATTAAATTTTTTTCTTGTAGAATTGATTCCTTTAGCCCATATTGGTGTATTGTACTGCTTGTGGCTAGATTCAGGATGTTTAGAGACCGATTTGAGAGGCAAAGGCGTGTTGGAGTAGAGTTTTGCTCGGATTGAGGTAAGTAAAACTTTCAAACTAGGTTCTGAGTGTTCGAAACTCCGACTTATATGTCATGTGATTGGTATTGAGGTGACGCACATTCCAAGTGACGGGCGTGCAGGCGCGCACCGTGAGAATTGGGACCTGATTGATTCCATGGCACCATGAAGTAGTCCTATCTTGTAGATAGCCATGTTTTCACCATATGATAAAATAATTGAGTTGTCTGTCATGTTAGAGATCATGTTTAGGTTATATGTTGGTACTTTGGAGCCTATAGTGGTAGTTTCTTGATATTGACTTACTGATCTCATTGATATTTCGTACTCAGTCATATTCATTCATTTCATATCATATCTTAGTCTCTTTTGTTATTTATTAATACATCATATCATCATGTTCGGGCTATTTTCATGGCACACTTGAGCCCATGAATGAGACTGGAGGGATTGATGATTGAGTGAGGCTGAAGGAGCCTAATTATGAGTGATATTTATGGGATCGGGCTACACGCTGCAAGGATTATACTGATTTATGATAGCGCTTGGGCTGAAGGAGCCCCTCCGGAGTCTATACACACCCATTGAGCGTGATTGATATTATTGAGGGATAGAACTTCCCTAGACATGAATTTTGCCCGAAGCATTATATACCTGGACATGGATCTTCTCCAAGGGCTGGATTGGCCCTACTCGGTATTGGGTGACTGATGATCAGTGATGTATATATTTCGGGATGGATCTTCCCTAGGCCGTATAGGCCATATACTGTACCGAGTGATTAAGCATTTGAGAGTATGAGCACATGAGGCTGTCAGCATGGTGCATCACATACATCATCTGCATTGGCATGTAGACGTAGAGGAGTTATAGTCTTCATATCATTCAGATTTGATCTATTTTACTATTTTCAGCTATCTATTGAACTTGAAAGCATCCCTACGTTTCTACACTGTTATTTCTATATTGAACTGTGCCGGTTGAGTTCGTCACTATCTTTCAGTCCAAAGATTGGATTTGTTACTTATTGAGATGGTTGTATTCACACTACACCCTTGATAACTAGTGATTCTTGTTTATTTTATACTCCTTTTTGCTTGAGTTTTGGATTAAAAATATATACAAGTAATCCCGAAAGCTTACATGTTGTGCTTACTTGCAGTGTTTGGTCAAAAAAGTGATAAGAAGTCAAAACCAGCTCAAAAAGGAGTGAAACCTGCACAAGTGCCAAGAACAAGTTAAAGCACCGTTGCAGCATAAAATCTACTACGGCTGCAAAAGACCCATCGCGGTCGTGGTCCATTTAGTGTGGTCTGCGGTGGATAAGTTCAGAGAGATGCAATCTTGGGGTTCTAAGCAGTGTGGTCTGCGGTATATTCTTCACGGCCGTGGTAGCCTCATCGCGGCCGCAGTCCATTTTTTATGGTCCACGGAGAGGGGATTCAGAGAGATAGGATTTTGGAAGTTTCAAGACACCGCGATCCGCGGTCCATTTGTTGCGGTCCGCGGTGAAGCCACCGCGGCCGCGTGTATTTTATGCGGTCCGTGGTGACCAGATTCAGAGACTTAAAAGTGAAGCCAAAAAGCCTCACCGCGGCCGCGGTGCATTTTTCGCTGTCCGCGGAACCTCCGTCGGGGGTTTGTCCAGAAAATTTGGCCTTGTATAAATACTTCTTTTTCAGATTTTTAGGGTTTCTTATTTGTAGCTGAGCAGGTGAACGACATTTTTGGTCTATTTTGAGTAATTTTATAGCTAGTTCAACATTGAAATTCAATTCTTAGATTGTAATCATATTATATGGGTTATTCTTCATCTAAATATATGATTTCTTCTATTATCATGAGTAGATAGACCCATTAGTTAGGGTTGTGGCTCAATCCTAGTATGGGTATTTGATGGGTCTTTTGTTTTAAGGCTTAGATGTTTATGGGTGATTGATATTTGGACTGATTTGTGTTTTTCATGTTGAATTAGTAGTTGCAAATACTAATTTGTGTCTTTTTGACTTAGGCTCTTCTTGAGAAAGAGAGCTTGAGTCTAGGAAAATCAGTCCAACAAGGAATTGGGGTGTATTCAAGATATTGATAGCCCCAATTAAAGGGTTAAACC